GAGGGAAGCCGCTGCGGAGCATTCGCAAATGTATTTAACATAGTCTGTCAGCGTGCCTTCTCCGATAATTTGCGATCTACGAGCGAATGGAGGGAAGCTCTCCGCTGCGGAGGTGGTTTTTGGCAAACACGAATCAAGCGGTTGAATGTCATTAACGAAATATTAAGAATCTCGTCTGCACAGTGTTTTTTTAATTATAAACTTTCGCAAGCGTCCGCTCGAACTTTTCTAGACGTTCATTCAGTACTGAACAACAATGAACGGACACTTCAGATTGGTTTCTAAATTTTCGTAGTAACTTCCATATTGAATCGGATCCGGCTGTGAAGCTTGGATTCCAAACCACAGACTACTTGCATGCCCTACCAGTGTTAAGAACCATTACACACCTTCCTTTTTTGAGAAACACGTACGTGTCACCGGTTTTCCATTTGCCTCATTTATGTCGACCTAAGCAACCATTTAGGTGCATTGTGCCGACTTCGTAGCCAAACTCTGCTTTCTCATTTTAATCCTCAAGTGTCCTGAATCGCGTAAGCGTTCCCTTGACGTAGGCAGCAATGAATATGCCTAGCCACCAATTGCTCAACTTCCACGGCCACAACCCACTTCTTCCTCTATTCTGACGAACATTCTATTTGACCTTTGCGCACATGGGTAATGATCTTGTCTTCCTACATACCCTTTTCTGCCCAGTCCTTTCTATAATGGCGTCAGTTTCGCTGAAGCTCGCCTTTCCCCTCCTATCTCCTCTTAACAAAGGTGTGTTTTCTCGCACAACCCATTTTATTGATCTATTTGAAGGACTGAATATTGATCGTACATTAACCTGAATGAGGAACCCTTGTAGTTGCCTGGATTCATGCATAATGTACTCGCAAATCCATCGGTGCTTTCACTTCTGGCTCACCTCTTTTAACCGGCAGCCACCACTTAATTGTTTGGTCGTTGCATCCGGTTATGACGTTCGTTTGCGGGTGATCGAGTGCTGTTTTCAACTGCTTGACGCCCGGATACTGCGAGGAATCCTTGAACTTTTTCTCAAAACATGGTGTTTGATTTGTTAGGATTACTTTTGGTACCCCATGGTTGTCAAGAATGTCATGCGTCATGGTGACCACCCATCGAATTAGTGGTTCCGCCTGAACCCACCGCGATGGGTGTTTTGTCAGTACTGCGACATTTATTTACGCCAGCTTTCACCAAAAAGGAGCTAATGAAGCTGATGAAACATTATAATCCGACCACTGATACAGGGCTAGATTCCACGGGAGTTCTCTCTCATCAGCTGGTACCTACTGCAAGACACTTAACCCAGTACCCCACTTATCACCTCTACTCAGCAAGCCCCCTGTCGATTAAATTAGTACGATTTGGTGCATCTTGCGTGTTCCATCTTGCGGCAATCGACGATTGGGTTCCGTCCCCAGACGCGAGGTGTCACGGGCAGTACGACCTTCAAATATTTGGCCATCTAGGATGTTGCGATGGCTTCACTCCGTTCAGCGCATTGTAGTTCTCCGGGAACGTCTCCGGTTCTTCGTCTCCCCCAATAATCTTTCCGTTCAGCAAGGCGGTAAACTTTCGTAGTAAGGGATCTAGCCCCTCTAGTTGCATTCACCATCGGGGATCCAGTTTAATGATGGTCACCACTCATATTCTTTCGGGCTTTATCTCTAGCCACTGATCTTGATACTCATTTGGCCAAGTAATTCTCTTTCATGGCAGATGCCGGATCGTATAGCCGTAGTTGTAGTCGGACTACCTAGCTGTGATGAACATGACTGATGCTCTATTCATTGCTCTATTCCTTATTCTCTTGTTTTAATATTCCATATGCTGTACATATTCGCCAATTTCGAATACATACGTGCTGGTTGCCACTCTTCGTTGAATTCTGGATTTCTAGTTTGTCGGGTTGTACCGATATACGTACGAAACTTAATTACCACA